ACACTTGTGAAACTAATGATGACAGCAAATAAGCGGCAGCATCACCGTTGTGTCCGTTGATGAAACGAGGATGAGGATTTCCTCGACCGCTATTCACACTGGCTGAAAGCGCTGGCGCTTCGCTCATAGCCCTCAAATCGCTGACAACCGACCGCAGAATATGGTACCTGCCTTGCTACCAAATAGCCATCCTCGATGACGACTTAAACCTGGAAATAAGCATTAGGGGTACTGCATATCATTTGCAATCCCGCCCTAAGGATAAGAGTGATCCTGCTGGTCAATAGTACTTTGATACAGCATATTGCCTCTTATATTTGACATCAATGTCGTGATGAGGCGACACGACGACGAGGCAGTGCCAATAACCAGTAATCTTTTCTCGTTTGCTTTGTTTTACTTTGATAATTTTACTATTGCTGACCCCAATTATTCAACAATTTTGTAAGGTATGCTTTCTGAGAGAGTCTATTGTTGCAGGAATGTTCTGACCGTGGAGAAGCATCGTTATGTGCAGCTCACGAGGAAAAGGGCGACTGCAAGAGACCTGAACACGAAGAACAGATGAAGCTGATATGCAAGAAAACGTGTGAATTTTGTGCATAATTTGTGATTTATCTTATTGTCTGAAAAGTAGGGAGTATTTCACAAAGCACTTCGTATTGACTTCAACGGCAAATAAAATTAATCTGAATAACAATCATACCCATCTCTGTTCATGGACCCTGTAGTTGTACGTGAATTTATGATTCTGCCCGTCTCCTTAGGGGTTCGCACATCATTTCTTTGATAAATTTTATTAGTTTCATTTGGGAAATGTATTTGTTGCACAAACTCTTGCTTTTAATTGAAGGACGAATTTACGCTGAAAGGCAACCCATTCCAAATTAACCTAGGGATGGTGAGTGGTACACGAAAGAAGGAAAACCATGAGAAACGGCCCAGAACCCGAGAAATGGGACCCCTTCCTTGCCCGTTGATTTCCGCATTGATGCGAGATGCGACTCTGTCGTGCCCTTTTCAATGCTAATGTTCTCTCTGCTATGCCTTTGGGAGTACTGCGCCAAGCGCCAAGGGTTAGCCATGCTAGATCAAATCTTTTACTGTTAACTGCGCGTCGGTCCGCCTCCCAACTAGGCGATTTTCCCTTCTCTGACTTTCTTTCTCGTCGTGGAATCCTAATTTGAAACAACTGGTTTGGAGAGGAAATATTCAACACTTGGGTGAAGACTCCTTTGGATACGCTTTTGCTGAAAATCCCACTGAAAAGTCCATTTCCATACTTGCAAAAGCCCACAACATCTTGTTATGTTACTTAGTTACAAGCTTGCAAATGGGACGTCCTTCGACGAAAACCGGCAAATTACTCTAACTCTATCTTTTGTAAAAAGAAATCGATGAGTGGTGCAACATATTTTTAACCAAGACCCTTTCTAAGGAATACGGTATTGAACTGAACAACAGGATTGAGTCGTTTTCTTTTCTAAAATTAGGCTCTCAGACTGACTGCTTAAACATGGCGATTTTTTTTGAAATGAAATTTCCCCTCCTCACTTCTTTGTTTCAACAATTATTCGCATATCGATCAGAAGCTTTCTATCTACTTTATGTGCACGCACATCGGCTTCTACTTTCATTCGAAGCTGGCGTTTTAGGCCCACGATGTTAAGATGTCCAGTCGCCGAGAGTGACCCCATTTCTTCATGGTTTTCCATTGAAGATGCAACAAATCCTTCGGTGACGTTGCCTATATCTAGTTGCAGCTTCTTCTGAGCGTTTCGCTAGTCTTGAAGGCCTCGACGGTAGATTCTTCAGGTTAAGATTCTAACAAATAGCGCTCAATCATTGAGTCTGAAAACTTGGAAAGCGACACGACTTGTTAAACAACCCAAATCGGAATCGTCGGAAAAGTCGATGTCGACCCCTCAAGAACATGGTAAACCCCTCATTAATTTCTTCCTACCGAAGATAGAGAATAAATTGCCGGTTTGACTTAATTTCATCTACGAAAGATTTTCAATTTTCATTCTCACTTCGCAAGCCTGTAACTTGACAACTTTACAAGCTATGACAAAAGCAAATTCAATTTCCACTAGAGCAACCAGTTCTCTTCTGAGCGATTTTTGTAGAAGGTCGGGAATCGAGGAATCATCTTCGTCTGGGAAAAAACGACACTACTTATCGAACGACCTAGTATTGTATTAGCCGCCATTTTTTTAAGCGACGTTGGTCTTCTAAGACCATTTTCAGTCTTGAAACAAAAGATAACGAAAGTATCGGGTCTCAGAAAGTTCGGGACCACTTATCTAAGTTGTTTTAGTAGACACTCACTTGGAAGTGAAATAGCAACTGAATGCACTTAGCGTCTGCAACGAACTATGTACGTGGTCAGCGCCCATGGGTACCCCCCCCCCCCAGGAGGCCCGTCGCGCGGCAAGAAGGCAAAGTCAGCGGACGAGTCGCGCGCGTACTATAGGGATTTCGCGTCAAGTTAAATAGAGTGTCCCACTGCACGTCCTACATCGCACACCACGCGCTGCAACTCGTCCGCCGACTCTGCCTTCTTGCCGCGCGACGGGCCTCCTGGGGGTACCCAGCGCCAATATAGAAATCAGTTCTTTAATTAGGGAACAGGTCTGATAAGAGTGAGCGAGATGCGACCTCGGTATCACGCGAACAGTAGCGTGTAATGTGTCCTTCCCCCCCCCCCTCAGGCCTAGCACCGACCGAGTCCTTACGAAGCGAGAAAGAAGTATTTGCTAAGCTTTCACTGGCATTTCCTTCTATTTTAATCGATTCTCACACGAAGGTTGCAACGAAATTCGGAATAGAAGGAAAGCTTGTTCAAAAAAGCCTTCCTTTCAAGCTTTCAAAAAAGCTTTCCAAAAAGTCAAGTTCAAATTCCATTCATATACAACCAGATTTGGAAACAGGGACATAAAAACCCGCAAAAGGGAGAAGGAGCGTCTCAAATTTCGGTTCAAATAGGTAAAAAAACAGCCATCACTCCCGAGGACGATCTGGCTACTGAACTTGCTAGATCCGATCACTTTTATAAAAAGGACCTTATTGATCATCCAAAGAGTCCAGAACGAT